CAAATATCATTGAGAAATCCCTAGAAGAAAAGAAAGTTTGCTACTCTGACTTTTTGGATATGCTTGGGCTTTTGACAAAGTATGTCATGAAGGCCTGATTAAAAAATAAAACATGTTTCTGCCACGCAATATTCAGAACTATTAAAACCCTATTTATCAGAAAGGTATTTCAGAATTAAACAGAAAGAAGAATATTTCGACCTAAGAGAAATCAAGGTAAGAGTACCTCAAGATAGAATACTCTACTTATTGTTGTTACGGGTTGAAAGTAATTTAAATTTAAAAGTACATTTAAGTAATGTTTGTTATGATTTAGTGCAATTTTAACTAATTTAATTTTAAAAGAGAAAATCTTCTGGTACTTGCCTTAATAAATAAAACTAATTAAACTTAATTTCAACATTTATTAAATTTTTGTTATTATTACCATAACCTAGTCTCTGTACAATAATGCAGTCTTTCGAGATTCTTCTTCATTTTCGTTTCTTCTTTTTCCTTCAGGCCTCGTCCTAAAGTAAAGGTCAATATCTACTTTCCTATTGGTCATGAATTACTCCATTTTGTCGTAAGATTAACTGTCTCTTTTCACTACCTCTTTCTTTTTTTTGGCTACTGAATTGGAACATGTGCTTCCCTATTTCTCGATGAATTTTCGGATTAAATTAGCCCTAAAAGAAAGATTACTTCATTAGTTTTGAAAAAAAGTAATAAGCAGAGTTGCTAATACACTTGGTGGATAAAATATACTTTTTTTTTCTAAAACTAATCTACTTCTAAGCCACTCACCACGCATGGTAAGTTTCCTCAACCAAAATTCATGATCATTAATAAAGGAAGTAAATAATTATAATCTATTGTTTTAGGCTTTTCTGTACAGGTAGTACTTATTCTTATGGTAACCTGTGAATTTATTTGGAGTACCTTACTGCTTAGTAGTTTCTTGCTTTGCTTCTTAGCTCCCTGCATGGCTTCTGACCTTTCTGCTTAGCCTTATAGCCAAATAGCTTGCATCCCAATATACCTGCGAAGCTTGGGATTGTTAGAAAATACCTGAAACCACTTTAATAGGAAGACAAAAATTGGTAATAAAGAATAATACTTCCAGAGACGCTACTGGACTCAATCATAATAAAAGTAAGAACTTTCCATTGTTTAAATTATTGTCGCCAAGGGGATACATATTTTGAAACATATGCTGAATCAGGAAATAGAAAATATATGAAAAAAAAACGTCACAATATTATATTGTTTTAAATAAAATTTTACTTACCCTATGTAAACGATTAGTACTAATCGGGCTTCAATAATCCAGTTGTACAATTCATTATTTAGCCTTTATCTTCTTCGGATCCTGGCGATATATAAACAAATTATATTTCTTTTATATTTACCTAAAAATACAACATTCTACCAATATTTGTCGAATATTATGAACCCACTAGTCCACGTTTTCTCCTAGAGGAATGGTAGTAACATTGTACAGGGTATCCCAATGAAAAGTAGCCCGTTTCCATTTGATAAAATTTGGTTACGGTGATTTTAAAAGAGAAGATTTTTTAAAAATTCCCTGTATAGGTAATACATAATGTCTGTGTCACTGAAGCAAAACTTATAGCAAAATAACACATGTCAGCAAAAACCACACGTTTCTACGATTTGTTTAAAAGTTATAAGCTCTGGAAATGGGCTACTTTTCATTGGGGCACCCTGTATAATACAGATATTTCTAATCTTGATCCCAATACTACCGCAATATATGCTAATGTTACGGCAACCCTAGCTGTTGGAAAAAATCACTAAGACGCTAAAAGAAAATTGCAAAAATCTATAGACCAGATTAACCCTAGAACGGTATCGTTTAATTTCTACAGCTTGTTGGTATGGACACGTAAAATTTACGCATTCGCAAATTTTTACATGTACACTTTGTAAAATTACCTGTTTCATTAGTTTTTTTTTTATCGAAACATAAAATAGTGTTTTTAACATATTTTAATAACAAAACAATATTTTAAAATGAAAAAATTACAGTATCTGAATTTAAAAATCAAGAGAAAAATTTTTTATTTGATTTTTTTAAAACACGTGCATATTTTTATTTGGTATTCTCCATATACTGTTTTGGTACATTTTACGCAGTACGTAGTTGCCATTCTTTCCTTTAATGTAGGACAAAGGTAGCAAAGGTTCCTTTTTTGATCCCCTCCCCTTCGATATTTGTACTGGGTAAAAAGGTTTCTTTAATATATATTGCACTTACTGTACTAAGGTATCCTATTTGTTGACGTTGTGATTGCCATGGTTTATAAGACTTTTGTGAAGTACTCAAAACGTGTTAAAGTTTTACCACCTAATGCTTCAACATTGTGTGACTAAATTATGTATAAATTCATGCAAGCCATGTTTATCATATTGTAAAAGACACATAGGGCCATTTGCAGCGACAGTCGTTAAGAAATAAGTGATGCCTAAAATTTTGGTGACACGTCAGATAAACGTACAACAAATAACTGCTTATTGGTATCAATGCGTATTTCTTACGTGTGTACTTTTTAAAATCAAGCCACATCTTCTTTTGCTAAATGGTTGCAACTTTGACAACTAGAATTCTTCACAAGTCGATGTTTCTTGAGGCACTGCTGAAAGCTCAAGATCGTGACTCAAAAGAATTAGTGGAGAGGACCCTTTCGCTACAAAACACAGGTAAATTTTACGTACGATACCGCTCTAGGGTTAACACCTGGGCGAAAAGATAACGAATTAAATTTAATGACTATAACTCCCATTAAAATAAACGACACTCCTTTTGCAAATACAGCAGAATAACTGGGTATGTCACTTGATAGTAAAGACTTCGCTGGAAAGTCAATTTTGAAAAGAAAGAGCTTGGTATAAATACAAAAGAAGGTAATAGTTGTTTGGATAAAGCTAAAAATTATCCACGTACCACAAACTGCTCCTTTACATTGAAAGTCGTATGGATGTATGGTATACAGCTTTTGGGCTGTGCCACTAAAAGAAACATCCGTCAATGCACCCTAGTACTGCAGGAATACTGATACACATAGGAAACTTAAAGTATTGAAAATACAATATAATAATTTTCCAGTATTCACAAACGACGACTGCTTCAACATGGGAAGGTTGAGATTATCCAGCTCTTTAACAACGCCAATCAAGTAGGAAAACTCAAGAGAACCAATCCTTTAAGTTGGTTTAGTGTTGTTTTATAAAAGCAGAGTATAGTGCGGTTTAGTATTATACGTTAATGGTATTATAAAGTTTTTCAACCCTAGATAATTTAGGTTAGAATAAAATTGCTAATGGTCCCAATATTCAGATTGTAAATACTTGGGAACAAAAGGGTTAAAAACCGATATGATTTTAACGAGTATGCAACTATGCAACTATGTGCAACCAATATGATGTTACGGTGTTATTTTTTATTTATGAACATATTTTTATTTTAATAACTCTGTAAGCCAGCCTTAAAGGTTTGATATACAGGAATAAAAGTTCATATAAATATAGGTCCGAAAACATTTCGTTTTCGAGATACAGGGTGTTACAAGTGAAGTCCTGATGATACATTTTTGTAAATATTTTCTAAAATTTCTTTAGTCACCGGTTTTCCAAAGTTAAAATAAATAAAATTTCTGATTCCACAGACCTACTAATTGTTGTTTACACTTTCGAATAAGATAACATCAACTTATCATGAAATTTTCAAATCTTTCTCTTAAAAATGGTGCGTCCTAACGAGATGCAACAATAGTAGGTTTATTATAAAGAAAACATTGGTTTTCCAAATTTTATAGTCAAAAATGTTAAAAATTGCCAACAAAAAAACTTTTTACACTAAGTTCCCCCTAATTTAACCCACCTATGAACATGATCAAAAACTTGGGTTTAGTCCATTAAATAGAACGTAAAAAGGTTAGCATTTGTACTAAATGTCACTTTTAAAAGTTTAGAAAATATATACAAAAGTGTGTCATCAGGACTTCACTTTAAACAACCTGTATCTCAAAAAAAAAAAACTTTTTTGGACCTATGTTTATATGAACTTTTACTCCTATTTTAGGATGTAGATTATGCTGCTAAAATATGACCGTCTAATTTCGGGACACCCTGTATATCACGTCTAAGAATCTGTAAATGTGTGTAGAGTGGTCGGCATTTTATTTAGTTAGCTGGATGGTATCTTACTTAATTCGTGTTCGGCTACCAGTTTTGTAATATTCTATTCGGGTTAAGTTGGGGATGTTGTAATAATTTTATTTAATCTTCGAATTTTATACCTGTGTTAACAGTTTCTTTTAACAGGGAATATGAGGGTTGTTTTATGTATAATGTAAGTTATTATGTTAGTAATGCTGGTTTCATACACCTAAGTAGTCAAAGCCTAGATCGTTCTAGTAAAGTAGAGATGTTGTATTTAGAAAGAAAATAATCAGAGTTCTCTTTAGCTCGATGGTTTGGGTAAAAATACAGTTTTTGGAGAGCTTCTAAGGTCTAAGTGCGCAGCAGGTTGTACAGAAGTATTGTTAGGATAAATCCGTACCAATCGGAAAGTGTCCGGATCCTTTTGTGGACCTACCTATCTCTAGTTGTAGCGTGGAGTGTGATCTTCGAGTGTTAGGGCGTTTAATTAATGTCGTTCAAATAACCTTACCCTTATAACTGCCACCGTGCCACGCCACCTTTTCCAGTCTCCACCATTCTGTCCTCGTCCAGAAATAACGACTGGAGGAGAGTATCCCGCGCCGTGGGATTAGTAACTTGTCTGGCTGGAACACACAGGTTCTGTCTCATTGTCTCGGCAGAAGAAGCTCTCTGGAAGAAGATATGGGGGCTATTACTGCTTCCACTAGCTCTTAAGTCATTTTTACTTTAGTTTTTAAGATTATATTTTTTCCTCTCATACAGCTTTTGGCCTATAGTTATAGTATGTCTACTATTTTGTTTTATAATCTATTAAACCATTGATTTTTATCAGTTCACATCGTAAGCTTGCCGTGTATTTTAATGAACTTTTGTAAGGTGTCATTTATATAATTTTCTATGTCGTTTTTTATTTTTCCATGTCTTGACATATTTTCCCATATTTTTTCATGTTTTACCATGTTTTTTTTTTTTGTTTTCCCATGTTTTTTCATATTTTCCATGTTTTTTTTGTTTTTTTTTTTTATGTTTTTTTCATGTTTTTTTATTTTTTTCATGTTTTTTTCCATGTTTTTGCCATATTTTTTTGTTTTTCCAAGTTTTTCCACGTTTTTCCATATTTTTTCCACGTTTTTCCATATTTTTTCCATATTTTTCCTTGTTTTTTTTTTTTGTTGTTTTTTTTTTCTTCTTCTTGTTTTTTCTTGTTTTTCCTTGTTTTTCCTTGTTTTTCCTTGTTTTTCCTTGTTTTTCCTTGTTTTTCCTTGTTTTTCCTTGTTTTTCCTTGTTTTTCCTTGTTTTTCCTTGTTTTTCCTTGTTTTTCCTTGTTTTTCCTTGTTTTTCCTTGTTTTTCCTTGTTTTTCCTTGTTTTTCCTTGTTTTTCCTTGTTTTTCCTTGTTTTTCCTTGTTTTTCCTTGTTTTTTTCCTTGTTTTTCCTTGTTTTTCCTTGTTTTTCCTTGTTTTTCCTTGTTTTTCTTTGTTTTTCCTTGTTCTTTTTTTTTTTTTTTTTTTTCCTTGTTTTTCCTTGTTTTTTCTTGTTTTTCCTTGTTTTTCCTTGTTTTTCCTTGTTTTTCCTTGTTTTTCCTTGTTTTTCCTTGTTTTTCCTTGTTTTTCCTTGTTTTTCCTTTTTTTTTTCCTTGTTTTTCCTTGTTTTTCCTTGTTTTTCCTTGTTTTTCCTTGTTTTTCCTTGTTTTTCCTTGTTTTTCCTTGTTTTTCCTTGTTTTTCCTTGTTTTTCCTTGTTTTTCCTTGTTTTTCCTTGTTTTTCCTTGTTTTTCCTTGTTTTTCCTTGTTTTTCCTTGTTTTTCCTTGTTTTTCCTTGTTTTTCCTTGTTTTTCCTTGTTTTTCCTTGTTTTTCCTTGTTTTTCCTTGTTTTTCCTTGTTTTTCATTGTTTTTCCTTGTTTTTCCTTGTTTTTCCTTGTTTTTCCTTGTTTTTCCTTGTTTTTCCTTGTTTTTCCTTGTTTTTCCTTGTTTTTCCTTGTTTTTCCTTGTTTTTCCTTGTTTTTCCTTGTTTTTCCTTGTTTTTCCTTGTTTTTCCTTGTTTTTCCTTGTTTTTCCTTGTTTTTCCTTGTTTTTCCTTGTTTTTCCTTGTTTTTCCTTGTTTTTCCTTGTTTTTCCTTGTTTTTTCCTTATTTTTCCTTGTTTTTTCCTTGTTTTTCCTTGTTTTTCCTTGTTTTTCCTTGTTTTTCCTTGTTTTTCCTTGTTTTTCCTTGTTTTTCCTTGTTTTTTCCTTGTTTTTCCTTGTTTTTCCTTGTTTTTCCTTGTTTTTCCTTGTTTTTCCTTGTTTTTCCTTGTTTTTCCTTGTTTTTCCTTGTTTTTCCTTGTTTTTCCTTGTTTTTCCTTGTTTTTCCTTGTTTTTCTTGTTTTTCCTTGTTTTTCCTTGTTTTTCCTTGTTTTTCCTTGTTTTTCCTTGTTTTTCCTTGTTTTTCCTTGTTTTTCCTTGTTTTTCCTTGTTTTTCCTTGTTTTTCCTTGTTTTTCTTTGTTTTTCCTTGTTTTTCCTTGTTTTTTCCTTGTTTTTCCTTGTTTTTCCTTGTTTTTCCTTGTTTTTTCCTTGTTTTTCCTTGTTTTTCCTTGTTTTTCCTTGTTTTTCCTTGTTTTTTCCTTGTTTTTCCTTGTTTTTCCTTGTTTTTCCTTGTTTTTCCTTGTTTTTCCTTGTTTTTCCTTGTTTTTCCTTGTTTTTCCTTGTTTTTCCTTGTTTTTCCTTGTTTTTCCTTGTTTTTCCTTGTTTTTCCTTGTTTTTCCTTGTTTTTTCTTGTTTTTCCTTGTTTTTTCTTGTTTTTCCTTGTTTTTCCTTGTTTTTTCCTTGTTTTTCCTTGTTTTTCCTTGTTTTTCCTTGTTTTTCATTGTTTTTTCCTTGTTTTTCCTTGTTTTTCCTTGTTTTTCCTTGTTTTTCCTTGTTTTTCCTTGTTTTTCCTTGTTTTTTCCTTGTTTTCCCTTGTTTTGCCTTATTTTCCTTGTTTTTCCATGTTTTTCAATGTTTTTTTATTTTTATTTTTTAGTTGTTTTATCTTGGTTTTTCATGTTTTTTATGTTTTTTCTGTTCTTTCATGTTTTCTTCACGTTTTTTTATGTTTTTTCATGTTTTTTTTTATGTTTTTTTAATGTTTTTTCATGTTTTTTTTCATGTTTTTTCATGTTTTTTCATGTTTTTTTATGTTTTTTTATGTTTTTTTCATGTTTTTTTATGTTTTTTTTATGTTTTTTCATGTTTTTTTCATATTTTTTAATGTTTTTTCATGTTTTTTAATGTTTTTTTCATGTTTTTTTCATGTTTTTTTTCATGTTTTTTTTTCATATTTTTTCATGTTTTTTCATGTTTTTTTCATGTTTTTTTATGTTTTTTTTTATGTTTTTTCATGTTTTTTTCATGTTTTTTCATGTTTTTCATGTTTTTTTCATGTTTTTTCATGTTTTTTCATGTTTTTTCATGTTTTTTCATGTTTTTTCATGTTTTTTCATGTTTTTTCATGTTTTTTCATGTTTTTTTCATGTTTTTTCATGTTTTTTTCATGTTTTTTCATGTTTTTTCATGTTTTTTCATGTTTTTTCATGTTTTTTCATGTTTTTTCATGTTTTTTCATGTTTTTTTCATGTTTTTTTCATGTTTTTTCATGTTTTTTCATGTTTTTTTATATTTTTTTCATGTTTTTTCATGTTTTTTTTATGATTTTTCATGTTTTTTCATGTTTGTGTTATGGAACATTTTTATAAATAAAATATTAATTTTATCGTTTTTGATGATTTTAATTTTAACGTGTATAAAAATACAAATTTTAACTTTATTTGTAATATATCTGGATTCAATCTTGTACCTATTGTAAAATGGCGGATACTACCTGTATCATCATTGACCAAATTTTTGTTAGTTCGGACGAGGAAAGCACTTGCTGAGTTGTCAATAATCAACTTTCTGACCATAAAACGGTTATGGGTGAATTATCGTTGTGTATACAGAAATATAAAAATACTTTTCAATTGAAAAGAAACTTCAGTGAGATTAATATCAACAAATTTTTCAATCAAATGCAAAATATCGACTGGAGATTTCTTTATTAAATTACTTTTACAATATTTTTTTATTATATTTTAACTCAGCTTTTCCATTTCGTAAATGCTCTCTGGGTAGGAATTATAGAACATGGTTTCATCAGGATGTTTTTTCTTCGAGTCAAAATTTAGAATATTTATTTTTTCTAGAGAAATCAAATCTTTGTTCATCTTTTACTTACAATGAAGCCAAAAAAGATCTTTTTATCAAAATCGTATTAACTCTTCTAATAATATTACTCGGGCATCCTGGAATGTAGTCGAAGAACTTTATAATCAAACAAGAACAAATAAAAATATAATTATTCAGAGTAATGGTGGTGTTATAGACGCTCCTGAAAATGTAAGAGAGTTAAATAATTTTTTTTTGTCAATGAGCCGGTTAATATAGTACAAACTATACCTTTAGTATCTACTATTGAAACATGCAGTGATGATAATACAAACAGTCTTTTTCTTCTTCCCTTCATTGAAGATGAATTGTGTACTCTGCTTATTAAAAAAATGAAAAACAAAAAATCGGCAGAAAGTGACGATGTTCCTTGTTTCCCCATTAAAAGAGTCCTTACTTTAATTATATCTCCAATTACTTTTCTAATAAATAAGTCGTTTTAACAGGTAAAGTGATTCCTGTCTTTAAGAAAAATTATCCAAAAAATATTAACAATTTCAGACCAGTTACAATATCAAATGGCTTTTCTAAAATATTTGAGTATGCATTTCTCGACAGATTATTGTAATTTTTAAATAACTTTCAGTTTCTCAATATTGTTTTAGATCTTCCATATTTACTACCACTGCTTCGTTTTCTTTTTATGAAAAAAATATTAAACATGTTTATAAGGGCGAATGGCCTGCTGTTATTTTTTGTGACCAGCAGAGCCTTTAACTGTATGAATTACGATATTTTGCTATCTATATGTATCTATAAATTCTACCAATGAAGATCAATGCAAAAATTTTAATTCAGGCCTCTTGTCAATTCAGATGGGTGTGCCACAGAGATCAATTTTAGGTCCAATGCTATTCCTCATATATGTTAATAATATTGTTTCAATTATGAAAAACAATTTTTATACAGCCTATGCCGATGACTTTTCTATAATTGTTTCTGATAAATGTACTAAAATTTTTGAGACAAAATGTGAACTGATTTTAACTAATGTAAGTACATTTTTTTATAGTAGTTGCTTATTTTTCAATAGAGAAAAAAACGAAATTCTTAGGCTACACAACGTGCAAAATAAAGTTAATGATATACATTTCTCAGGTAATAAGTCATTATTGACGAGCAGCCACAGTAGTGTTAAATTTTTAGGCATTTTATTAGATGAAAATCTTAACTGGAGACACCATTGAGAAATTAATCTCTAAATTAAACCGATTAAAGTATTTTCTTTAATTTTAGAAACGTTATTGAAAAAACGCAACTGTAAGCAGTAAAGGGGCAGCAACAGTTCGGCCTCATTCCCCATGTTAAATCCCATAAGAAATCGCTAAGGTTCATTCTGGCAATTTTTGTCTAAATCAAGGTTACACCATCTCAACTAACTCGTCGATTGACGTTTCACGTTTGACGTTTACCGTTTTGACGTTTGACGTTTGACGTTTGACGTTTGACGTTTGACGTTTGACGTTTGACGTTTGACGTTTGACGTTTGACGTTTGACGTTTGACGTTTGACGTTTGACGTTTGACGTTTGACGTTTGACGTTTGACGTTTGACGTTTGACGTTTGACGTTTGACGTTTGACGTTTGACGTTTGACGTTTGACGGTTGCCCCTTTACTGTAAGCATTATACTATGCACAATTTGACTCCAGGTTACGTTATGGTGTCTGTCTCTGGGGTAATGCCACAACATTATTAGCTACATTGAGAATATTCGTAGTCGTACATCGTGTAAGGAATACTTTAAAAAATTAAAAATTTTAACTGTGACTTCAATTTATAAGGCTGAACTGTATGTCTTTGTTCTTAAAAATTTAAAGAAATGTATCTACAATAATGAGTATCATAGTTATCCAACGAGACAAAACCATCTTCTTCATTTGCCTCTGGGGAATAATAACCTATTGTACGCCAAATTATCTTGGTCCAAGAAGTTATAACAAATTACCTTGAGTTATAAAGGCATGTAGAAGTATTGAACAATTTAAAAGTCATCCCAAATAATTTCTGGTAACTAATGCTTTTTATACACTCGATGAATTTTTGGAATTATGAAGACAGTATTTTTAATTAATATTTTAAATTAATATCTTTTTTTATTTTATCATTTAGCTATATAGTCTAATCAACAAGTTCAAAAGCGTGTTTTTGGGACATACTATTACGAAAATTATGTTCAATAGCTCATTCAATTCGCAATAATGTCTAGATCAATGTGTGAAGAAAAATTTTGCAGAGCATAAAAAATTGCAATAGTTATAAACAATTAAACACCTCAAAAACATGGTGTTTGGTTTTTCGCCTATAGTTTGTAAACTATAAATATTTTTGGATTTTTCAAAAAAGATCCGTAAAGAGAAGGAAATTTGCTATAAATAAGTTTCGACTCCCGAAACTGTACCTTCATTATTTATAATTTTAATTTAACGCTCAAAGTAGCCTTCCGCGTGCCATTTTTAGGTTGCGCGCACGGCGTCGAAACCGAGTACGTTACATAAAATAATTTTTTTAAGTTAATAAAATTAAATTTAAAAATTTTAAAAAATTGCGGTGTATTCTAAACACTTAGGAGAATTCATTCCCGTTGAAATTTTTCATAAAAATTAATTTTCCAACAAAGTAGGTTATTGTTAATTAACAAAATTTTTAGAATTTCTCTCATTACAAATTGATAAAAATATTAAATAATTACCGTAATTTTTTTTGCTTCGTGGAGCTCTTTTTATATACATATAAAACAAAATAGCTTTATAAAAGTTTAAAAAATGTTAATAATAATAATTTTTTAGTTTACAAAAACAGAAAAGTCTCAATGTTTCCTCCATTTGTTTATAAATTTTATAAATTTGGAGTATTTCAATTTTTTTCAATTTTTTTTTTACAACTTTCTAGACAATTGCCAATTATGATTTTTAAATTTTTTTTTTTTTTATAACAACTTTTAATTGTTTATAATCGTTTTTTTAATATATCTATTGTTTAAATTATTAGTTAAGAAATAAGTTTTTTTTAATCATAATTGACAGTCCTCTACAAAGTGACAGCAAAAAATTTTTTTTATTAATAATTCCATTGTTTATTAAGTTAACAATTTGTTATAAAAAAATTCCCAACTTTGGTTTATTTTTTCCTGAAAGAAGTAAAAATTCCAATAACGACTTCGTGCATTAAAATTACAGAAAAAAATTTATTCCATTTTTTTATTAAACTTTGAAAGTATACGTACTATCAAAGTTGCAGCAGCTGATCCATTTGTTGACGTTGTTGTAGCTCAGTAAATAATGCAAATTCGGTTATTGAACTTCTAAGCAATTCTGTTAAGCTATTAATTATATAACATTTGCAATTGTTTATTTAATTTTCAGTCAATTTTTTTATAAACTATTATAATTATTTTACTAAATCTTTGGATTTTTTATTTTAATTAATAAATATCTTTTCTCGACATTAAAACAGTAATATAATAAATTGAAAAAAAAAATTTTTTATGGCACCACTCTGACTTTTCTGTTTTTGTAAACTTTAAAAAATTATCATAAACAAAGTATTAACATTTTTTAAACTTTTATGAAGCTATTTTGTTTTATATGTATATAAAAAGAGCAAAAAAAATTTACGGTAATTATTTAATATTTTTATCAATTTGTAATGATGAGAGAAATTCTAAAAATTTTGTTAATTAACAATAACCTACTTTGTTGGAAAATTAATTTTTATGAAAAATTCCAATGGGAGTGAATTTTTCTAAATGTTAAATTAAAATTATAAATAATGGGGGTACAGTTCCGGGAGTCGAAACTTATTTATAGCAAATTTCCTCTTCTTTAAGGATCTTTTTTGAAAAATCCAAAAATATTTATAGTTTACAAACTATATGCGAAAAACCAAACACCATGTTTTTGAGGTGTTTAATTGTTTATAACTATTGCAATTTTTTATGCACTGCAAAATTTTTCTTAACACATTGATCTAGACATTATTCTGAATCGACTGAGCTATTGAACATAATTTTCGTAATAGTATGTCCTAAAAACACGCTTTTGAACTTGTTGATTAGACTAATAGGTAGCTTTTACATATAGTTTATTTCTATGACTATATTCCAATACATTTAATATTGTCTTATGGAAATGTTAATATAAATAAATAAATTACACTCATCTAAAGCCTGACCATACCATGTGTATTTACCAGATTCAGTCTTAATATAAATTGTTTTCGTTCACCCTTCAAAAATAAAACAACACAAAACGACAAATTTCAAATTAATTACGTCGTTTTTAATGAATATTCAAAATGGAGGGAGTCCGTTTGGTATAATGAAATAAAACTAATAAACATGAACACGTACACTCACACATTTATGCACATTACAAATTGATACAATAGAAAGCTCGGATATACAATTTGCTCTTATTTCTGGAAAACTTCATAAATTTATACCGGAATATTTGCAGCGGCCGCATACGCATATTTCAGAATTCTCTAATGAATAGTTAGTTATTTTGTCCATTCTAGACGTTTCCAATTAACAATATTAATTAAAATTTCCTGACCACCTAGATAAATATAGAGATGTTATTTCGAAGCAGCAGCAAACGCGATATCTATACAAGGCGATTCCTCCCGTTTTATTTTTACTCCAGACCAGTTAATACAAAATGTATTCAGTTTTCATTGTTTTGAAGTACATCTTTTTGTTTTTCTTTGTATCTCTGGATTTTTTCTTCAAAAGTATTTAGTTGATGGTATGTGTAAATCTGTAATCCGAAGTTGGATAATTTATTTTGAATTATCTGGAATTAGTTGTTTTAATAAAACCCCAAAATCTATATGCTATAAGTCCATACTAGTTTTAGAGGTGCATGAAGATAAGCAATTTGTTGTGTACTAATATTTACGTTATATTATGTCAATTATCCAGTGAACATTTTAATTTTTTTTGGGTCTTTTATTCTTGTTGTCCTCTCTCTCCCTAATTTTTCATCCAAATTTATTCTAGCCGTATTTTCATAAGAAGGTATTTTATGAAAACCAGACCTGTATATCGTGATGATTATATTTATTGGTGAAATTTATATTCAAAGATTTTAGTTCAATGATTTTTATTGTCTACTGTTCATCTGCTGGATTCGTTATTGGCACGTAATTAAAGATTGTCTGTATGGGACAAGTGTATGACGTATTTTTTTTTTGTTAGTGTATTGTTACTAGTCATTATTAACTAACCTACAATTTTAATTTAAAAATCTTTTAAACTAATTACTTATCTAAGAAGTCCCTATTGGGCTGTCTTAATTTTTTCTATAGGAAAGCATAACAAGTTGACGTGACGATTTATTACACTGTTTTACACTGGCACTAACATTAACGTTCACTGCACTAGCTCAAATGGCTTCTTCCTTTTGAGCCTTCTGTTGAGTGTAGAGTTGTCGAGTAATTGCAGCTCTTCTTCGTTGACCCTCATATTTCGCAGCAAACCTCTTTATTTTTTCTTCGATTGTTGGCATCTTAAGGTCTCTATGAAGAAAATCGTTTCGATAGAACCAAGGTGCATCAACGATGCATCTTAGGACTTTATTTTAGAAAACTTGTATCATGGTGCCACATCCCCATAGCTGTATTGTATAAATCCAGATTAGTTTTAGGATTTGTTTATAAATCGGCAGTTTGTTGTACACTGACTATTTGGATTTTCTTCTTAGGAGCCGCTAATACACATTTTTGAATTTAAGTTCAAGTTCTTTATGCTTTTTTTATGTGCTCTTTCCGTTTAAGTATTACATCTAGGTTCATCCCTAGGTGTTTGGCCGAATGGTGATGCGGAATGACGTCGTTGTTTATTTTAATTTGTTATTTTCATTTGGTTGAAGAGCAAAATCAACATGCACTGATTTACTTTGATTTATTTTTTTTCCACTTTCTTGTCCATCTATTGATTCCTGACGTTTTTCTGAGGTCTCTGTATTAGTTCCGCCAACTGCCAATATTGCAGTGTCATCAGTAAATGTTGCTATTTTATCACATTGTTGTTAAGGGATATCACTGGTGTATAATAAGTAAATAACCGGTCCTAGCACACTGTCTTGTGGGACACCTGCTTTAATTTCTTTCATCTCGGAGTATGCCTCGTCTTGCTTTACTCTATACATTCTTCTCGTTAGATATGACTACAGAATGTCGATCAGGCCAGCGTGCTTGAGCTACGTCAAGAAATATAGCTGAGGATATATATTTTTCTTTATAAGTTTTTTTATGACGGCTATCCTGTGTACGTGATCTATTGTCGAGTGTTTGTTTCTAAAACCAAACTGGAGCGAAAGGATCAGATTTTGATTTTCAATTATTGGTTTTAGTCGTTTTATTATTAATTTTTCGAATAACTTAGATATTATCGGTAACAATGATATAGGTCTATATGATTATTCGTAGGTTTTCCTGACTTTGTAATTAGGATAACTTCAGCCATTTTTCATGCATCAGATATATATCTAAGGCGAAATGCTGCATTTATGAGGCATGCCAATTTAACAATAGTTTCCGTGGTAGTTTCTTTATTATTTCTCCAGTTTATTACTGGGGCTTTCTTTGAGTTGATGTTTGTCTGAAGTTCTTTCGTAACTTCATTGGGAATAACTAGCTTAATTTCAAGTTGTTTTATATTATGGATCATCTCGTTAGGATGACAGTGTTTACACAAATTTTTTATCTTTTTAGTTGCCTCCCAGATCGAATAATCAATTTTTTTATCATCTGTTAAGCCTATTAGGTATCTGTTGAAGGATTCTTCTTTGTGATTTAGGATTTCTCTTCTCAGTCGCCCTATTTTTTATATTTTTATCTACTGGTGATCTTGTAATCTGCCATTTTCTTCTTAGTTTTCTTTTTTCTGTTACCAGTTCTCTTATTTTGACAGGATAGTTTTTTCCAGCTGTTAATTTTCTTACTTTTGGAGTGTTTCTCCATGCAGTTTGCTGGATATCAACTATAAACCTTTCCAGTTCTTTATCTAGCTGATTTTTCGTTTTTAGTGTTATGGTCAGTTCATTAGTATTTGTTAAGTCCTCTTGAAAACCTTCCCAATTAGTTTTTCGATTTGCTAGTGTCGATTTTGCTTTTTTCTGAATAGCATTATTACTTAGAGTAAGGATTACTGCAGAATATTCTAAACATATATCAAAGTTTTCTTCTACTTGTGTATAGTTTGGTGAAATTTTCCTCAGAATAAAGAAATCCAAAAGGTCTGGAATCTTATTTGGCCAATAGGTGGGATTTTTAGAAGATTTTTCAACCGTTTATATGTCAATTATCCAGCGAACATTTTTACTTTGTCGCGACTTTTATTCTTGTTGTCCTCTTTCCACATAATTTTTTATCCAAGTTTATTCTAGCCGTATTTTCTCATCAAAATCTGACCGTTTTATCGTGATGATTATATTTATTGGTGAAATTTATGTTCGCGATGAGATAAGAAGGAACGTATGTAGTGCATTTAAATTACTACAGATTCTTCCTCGTGATACTTCTGCAAATTTTGATGCTTTTGGTCCACATTTTATCATAAATTCTTTGTGCTAGACTTTACTGCACGCGGTGTCGAGGAGCATGGTCTCTTATCCTTATAGAGTTTTTCTATAAGAACTATAATCCTGTAGACCATTGTTGCTAAAATCTGGATCTCCTAAACTTAAAAAATCGTATAAGCACTGATTATGAATATCATTCAATAACTATATCAGGAGATTAATATAAACGACTAACTAAGTGTCTGATGTACAAGAAGCTTTGATAGCAGTATCATTTGAACTATACCATGATACAATATGACCGTTAACTCTTCTATGTTTCCTATCTGGTGACCTCTACTCATTCCGACATTTGATAGCTGTATTGTTTTCCTTTGTTAGTCTCGTCTTACGTGTGACATTTCAGTTGCACAAAACCTCAAATTAACCGAATATAGAAAACATCAGGTAGGTTGTAAATAATAATTATTATAATGAATTATATATGTTCCAAGAAACACAATTTATCTACAAATATTGCGATGATTTTAAAAGAAAAGGCTGACCTTGGGAATCGTCTAATTAAAACTAATCAAAGACACAGGACTATTCCAAGTAACTGTATACGGGAAAAGCAAAGGAATACAATTTGCCTGCACCTAAGAGGTCGCAGTGTTCTGGGCGAATGCCAACCCTACCTGCTTATAACCGACATAGATAAAGATAAAAAAAGGGAATCATTTACTTTTCGACGTCCTAACAGTTCGACACTGAAGTCTCCAGTTACATGTTGGAAGGAAAGGTATCTGGGCGTCCTGGAGAAGATGGCGGGTCATAAAATCAGTAGAGTATGAACATTGAAAAAATAATGGTTTAAAATTACTTAGTATCCGATTATTATTTCATTAACCCTTAAGTTATGATAAAAAATATAGAAGATCCAGAAGTGGCAGCTATGATTCATTCTACACCGACGATTCTAAATCAAAACAAGTATTAGAATGTGAACTATATACCAGATCCTTTAAAATTAACTGTGAGCAATAGTGCTAGTGTAGTTCAAACTGAGTTCACATGGATTCTCATAACAGCAAACGAAATTACTGGAAGGAAGAGCACTATTTACCCTGGACAAAACACTTATTTGCTTAAAGCTAGAACAAGAATATCACCAAGTTTTGGCCGAAGAATCCATCAACAATAATGTCATCTTAAGTTGGACCAAAGGTTACGCTAAGAAGGCAGCCAACTAAATACTTTTTCGACATAGTCCTTCTAATGGACTAACATCACTCGTGGCAGACTTAATTATAAAAGGATATTACCTTGTAAAATTCAAAGAAAAGTGAAATGAAACAAGAAGCTGCAGTGTTGCTAAACTAAAGCAAATTAATATTTAACTAGACACAATCTGCGACACTGCGACTGATTAAAAGAATTATGATTAGCTAAGAGAAGGCTATCAGTTCAGGAAAATCCAGCCTCCCCACCCTACAGATATGACTACCACGAAGCTTCGTCGTTGTTTGCTGGTTACCAAACGGTGTATTCTCACCAAAATCAGACCAATTACTATTTATTAATGATAATTAAAGGTAAATCTTGATAACCATGATCGCACGAAAATTCGATATAGAAGATGAATATGGTGACTATATCCTTTAAGCAAAGTTAAGCGCTGTCATATTTCATCAAGAAAACGAAATTGATCTGAAATTAGATTAATTCTGGAATAATGTTCACACACTTGGGCCAATCTGTGCAAACAACACTTTCGATGTTAATGCCACTTAGACCAATATATCTATCCAAAAAACTCCAATTTTAAAATATGTATTGCTGCTTTTAACCATTGAAGAGCAGTTTGTAATCTACCCTTAATTATTGGTCTCTTGCGAATTAGCTTCATACGAGTTAGCCCATAAAAAAACTGGTACTTTTAACCTTTACTTTTAAACTATTTAAATTGATTTAAAATATTCAATTGCATTACACCTAATAGTTATTTGATATGTGAAGCGATTGTCTACGTCAAGCAGATCACCCTGTACACGAATGCCTTATTACTCCGTAACGGAGAATGAGTGGTGGCTGTACTTCGTGACAAACTATTTTCATTTCATAATAAATTATTAAATAAATATTTGAATTCGGTAGCCGGAAAGTAGGTACTTTATATCGCTGTTGTGGGTTGGTGTTTGCTTTTTACCATTTTCAGTATTTCAAGGGGGTCTCTATTCAAGATTCATGTTGGTTGGCAAATTTACCAGGCCAGGAGGAGTGCATAATTTTATAAATTATTTTCACTTTTAATTCACAATATGTTCTTTATATAAGTTTTTAATTGTTTGATTCAATTTTTAGGGAAGGAAAAGGGATTATTAAATGGTTGAATAACCCCACATATGGCTTCAGATATAAATACTACTGAAGTTATGTCTAATCTAATTAATATTAGAAAAAAAAATGTTTGAGATGGTGTTGTTCCAAATAAGAACTGGGAATAGTTACTAACATACAGAAATTAAGGATCCCAATAGTTATAGAAACTAAATAAGATGTTATTAAATATGGAATTAAACAAAACGAAGTTAAAAAAGAATGAGATGAAATTTACAAAATTCATAAAAATATCAATTATACTTCGCAACATCATTACTTCTTCTAAATTATCCATTAGAATTATTTCATCTCTTGCAATTTGATTAAGTTTATTACGAATTTATTCACATATATGGTAATTACAGTTACATCATCATCAGATCATCATCAGAGTCAAGAACCAGACCACCGCGCATTCTCGTTTGGTATCAATGGTAATTAAAAAAGTCGTGAATCAACTATGCATTTATAATGACAAAATAATTGCTAAAGCAAGATGTCGTCTGATGGGAAGTTACAAGTAAAGTGATTACGTACAGTGGAGTACTTTGGTTTATTTTTTGAATTAACTTAGGCTGAGATAATTTCGTTCTATACATACTGCGGTAAACATAGCGAATAAAATGTGTAATAATTAGATAATTGTCAGATAAACTAGTCTAAATTTAATAACGCTTCTATCAAAAATGTCCGCACCTTTACATTAAATATTTACGTCATGTGTCAAATTCGAACTTTTGGAGCTAGTCAGTTTTGATGAGAATAAATGCCATTTTTTAAAATAGATTCATTTAAATGATATAAAAACATTGACGGCAAGTCAATCTTCAAATATTTATTGAATTCAAATAAATCATAGTATGACTTTGAGTCACCATTTTGATTACACTTTTCCGTCAGTCAGGCATCGCTAAGTGCGTCCATATCGCAAAATAGTGTTTATGCCGTCTGCACTTCCCAGGCAGCACACATTAGTATAACTAACGTATTTTATACGTAATACTCGTTTAATTTTGGTATTGGTTGATTCCGTATACGTTTACAGTTTACGATTATTATACATGCCGTATTTTAAAAGATATATTATACGTTTTTTGTATACATCCTATGGTATATAATTGTAAATTTTTCTGCGTTTAAATGTAGTTAACAATATACGACTATTTTTAGTTTGCGATGAACTATTTATATACAGTGGGCCTAAATATACGTTTAGGTTTATTTAAATTAAATTCGTATAAATTTACATAATATTAAAATATGTGTTCTTCGTTTATAACTCCCGTTTAAATTTCGTCTTGGTTGATTTTTTAAACGTTTACCATCTACCATTTTTATACTTAACGTTTTTTAACATATAAATTAAACGCTTTTGTTTGTGGATACTAGTTAATATACCTATATTATTCTACGTTTAAATATAAGTCACCTTAAACGCATATTACCAGTTTACGATGAACTAGTAGACAGAAGTAAATAATATGTATATATTTAGGTTTATTTAAATAAAAAGCTTATTTATTTACATTACACCATATTTTTTTAATTATATTACCTGTAATATTTATAACAATTCCCCATTGTACAAATTTCAAACACCCGAACATTTAAATAACCCGCCAATAACCATGGTGGGATGGACTAATCCATGTCGTTTCAGTGAGTGAGATTTGGGGTGTGCTTAAAGCTAAGTCGGGCTGGTCCAAAGTTCGCGTAGTGCAGAGAATCGAGAGGGGAGTAAAGTACCGGCAGACGATCGGGAATCAGCTGACTGATGGTGGCTGGTTGCTGTGAAGTGCTCCCATCAATCAGACAAGTCACGCTATTATAAGTTATATTTCTGTTAACTAGTTGCTAACCACGATAATTGTTTTTTATGTATTAAAAAGTTCTTGTAAAATTGTTGGTGTTGTTGTTGTTGTTGTGCCCAGTTGCATTGCATGTTGCTTTGGCGTCCTGGCTTTTACGATATTGATTAAAAGCATATAGGTAAGTTTCTATTAATGTTTTAATTTAGCTACTCTTTTAATAATTGTTGCATTTTATTACACTGTGTAAAATGATTATAGAAATTCCAGAACATAACCTTACTTTTGTTTCTCTTATTTTTATACGTATTTCTATACGTATTTCTATACGTATTTTTTAGGCTACCTAGTTATTCCAAGCATACTTATTTCCCTTTTTTTTATCAGTTGTTTTTTATTTAATAAAATATCTAAAATAACCCTGTCTCGGCGTCATCTACTAAGAAAAATAGCACAAAATGTTCAAGATGCTTTAAAGTCAAATCAATTTTTTTTATTCCCAATGAAGATAACATTAATAAGGCGTCGGACATTAATATATCATCTGATTCTATTATTTATAATAATTTCCTAGAAAATAATACAAATTTAACTTTGGAGCTTTTAGAAAATATTTCAGTTATATTTTGGTTATAGGAATGGGGGTGAACCAAGAGACTTAACCGACCTAACGATTAGAAGTGCTATGCAAGATTGGCTTAAGTTAGCTAAGGCCTGTCTAGGACACAACACATCCAAAATGTTAAGCTAAGATTTTAATTTTCATATATATTTTTTGTCAGTTAAAGAAAAGTTTCGTTTAGTTTGTTATTCAGTATTTTAGTGTTTATTTTTTAGTATTTTATTGTTTATTTTTTTT